GTGTTGTTTTGTTCTCCTTAGTTCAAATTGGAATATAAATATTATTGTTGTTAAAATTTTCCTGGCTAATGCTCCAAACTAGTCCTTGTCTTCTTTGTAATATGCGTGCTACACTGAGTAACTAAAAGCTAACATATCTCAAAAAGATTTTTTCAATTGCTTTTGTCTACATCTAGCTAGTTAGCCTTCTAAAGAAACCATTTACTCTGTTACAGGGGTGGGGGTGATTTGTTAAAGCAACTTCACGAGCTGGCAGAGTCTGAACAAAAACTTTCCATGCATCAGAGAAGATTGACCGAAATTGAAGCCAGGGTTACCATAAGAATCTTATTCTCTCTCTAAATGAGATGAATTTTGTGATTTTAGGACCCCTCTTGTTTACATACCTTAAATACTGTATTCCTGGGGATGTTTTTGCATTTCCTTGTGAATTGGAATCATTTAAACGCGTTATATATTTGTCAACTTCTTAAATTGCAGATTACAGAGCTTCTGCCTCTTCAGAAGAAGTTCATGGACCTTAAAGCACAGTTAGAACTTAAATCCTATGACCTTTCATTATTCCAGGGCAGGGCTGAGCAAAATGAGCATCATAAGGTTTTGTCCAGTCCTCACTTTCTCTTGGCATACCTACCACACGCTTTATGTTGCAACTTCCTTTACTGGTTCATATAATGACATGGTTCATAATGATTTCTTGGTGTGACTAGCTTGGTGAATTAGTAAAAAGGATCGAGCAGGAACTTCAAGAAGCACAATCTGCAGCAAAAGAAAAGCAGCTTTTGTACGAAGAGTGTGTGAATAAAGTTACATTACTTGAGAAATCAATCAAAGAGAATGATAATAGTCGGGAGGGAAGGCTCAAAGATTTTGAAAAGAAGATTAAAGAAACAAAAGCTCAAATGCAATCAGCTTCAAGGAATCTAAAGGTAGGTTATGATTAGCTTTGCATGGTTTTATCTTAGTTGCTGGATTTAGAAGTAGCTGCCTGATTCTGCATTAGCCTGTTAACTTTTGTGACATGATTTTATTCGCTGCTAGGGGCATGAGAATGAAAAAGAGAAGCTTATTATGGAAAAAGAAGCTGCTATAAAGGAACTTGCATCTTCAGAAACTCAATTAGCTTCTTTGAGAACACAAATTGACAACCTAACTTCAGAAGTCGAAGAACAGAGAGCAAAGGTAAGCACTGATATTTGATTTGGCTAGATCTTTTGGATACAAGTTTCATGGTGCATGCATCTCCTTTGCAGGTAGCTTCTACAAGAAATATTCATGATAGTGCCCAATCTGAGCTTAACTCAATTCGCATGAAGATGAAAGATTGTGATTCCCAAATTAGTGGCATTCTTAAGGAGCAACAAACACTTCAGCGTAAACTTAGTGAGACAAATCTTGAAAGGAAGAAAATGGAAAATGAGGTAATTATCCTCCATATTTGTAAAGTTCTCTATATCATTACATACTAACCAACCTCCTTTTCAATTTTTTCTAGGTAAAACGAATGGAAACGGAGCAGAAAGATTGCTCTACCAAAGTTGATAAATTGATAGAGAAGCATGCCTGGATTGTATCTGAGAAACAGTTATTTGGTAAAAGTGGGACTGATTATGATTTTTCCTTGCGGGATCCTCATAATGCAAGGGAAGAACTTGAGAGACTGCAGGCCCAACAGTCTGGGTTCGTGACTTGGAATTCTCTCTCTGCATTTTTGGTTTTGATCACCTGCTTCTAAGACGAGAAATTTCAATTTGATATGCTCTAAACTTCTGAAGTTATGCTATTAGTATCTTGCATGGTGCCAGGAGGGTGACTTTTCCCCTTCTTTTGCAGCCTCGAGAAAAGGGTGAATAAGAAAGTTATGGCAATGTTTGAGAAAGCAGAAGATGAGTACAACGATCTAATGTCTAAGAAGGACATCATTGAGGTTGTTTACTTTTCGTCTGTCCACATGCCTGTTATTACTTTCTTTTGCTTACTCTTTGTTTGCCTTCCGTAGAATGATAAGTCTAAGATCAAGAAGGTGATTGAAGAGCTGGATGAGAAAAAGAAGGAAACACTGAAAGTTACTTGGGTAAAAGTTAATAAGTGAGTCTTCTTCTCAAATCGATAAGCGGCTTTACAATCAGCTATTAGTTCTCTATGTTTGTGCTGTTCCTCGTTCTTTATTCCACAATTACAATTTTCATATTTTCTTTCTTCAGTGACTTTGGATCTATCTTTTCTACCCTTTTGCCTGGCACAATGGGAAAGCTTGAACCTCCTGAAGGGTGCAGCTTCTTAGATGGACTTGAGGTTCGTGTTGCATTTGGGGGTGTTTGGAAACAGTCCTTATCAGAACTGAGTGGAGGTCAGCGATCTCTGCTTGCACTTTCCCTGATCTTGGCATTGCTTCTCTTCAAACCTGCCCCACTTTATATACTGGATGAGGTATGCCTAACTTTTCCTGTATCAAAAACCAGCTTCTCGACTTTTACTAAATTCCTTCAATGTTTTGTTGTTCTCTATTTGCTATTCTGCTTACATGAAGTGGCTGTCGGCATGTCATTTCACTTACAGGTTGATGCGGCTCTTGATCTAAGCCACACGCAGAACATTGGAAGAATGATCAAAACGCATTTCCCCCACTCCCAGGTTTGGTGGTTTCTCTTGTGTTTATTCGATGTTTCACCTTGTCGGAATCTGCTTGTTCTTTAATACAGCTTATTTTCGCAACTTACACATATTTGTCATGAATCTAAATTGTAAAAGTATCAATTGCAGGCTATTTCATCACTTTCTTATAGATAAACATCCTCTGAAACTTCATCTTTCTCTTGGTTTTCACATATTGCAGTTTATCGTGGTTTCGCTGAAAGAAGGCATGTTCAACAATGCTAACGTTCTGTTCCGAACGAAATTCGTGGACGGAGTTTCGACTGTTCAAAGGACTGTTGCAGCTAAGCACAAGTGATTTTGGTTGCTTTTGGTTGGTTGCTTTTGAAGACTTGCAAACCAAGGTACCTCTCCACCCACCTCTCCACCAACCCTTCTAACCAGTCTCTTCTACTGTATTTTCTACCTTGTGAAAGACGACTAAAACGCTGCGTTTCGGTAGTTAAACCTTTTGTTTTGGTTCAGATGGTGTCTTCCAGTTCGGGAGCTCTGCCGATGAAGGTTATTTACCTAAAACATGTGTACGGAAACTTCTTGTTTGACTGCACGTGTAAAACTGTAAAACTGTAAATTTAAACTACTTCCAGCAGCCCCACATTTTGTTACCTGTTTTTTGGATTCATGAAAATACACGTTTGGTAAAAATATAAACAAAAATCATTTGTTTGGCCTCATAAGAACGAGAAATTTTCAATGTGCCAAAAATACGGTGTACATCAAATATCATAATATAATTAGTTGAAATCTTTTTTTTTTTTAAGTTTTGAACCAGATGTGTTATTACATTTACTTCATCGGATGGTGTTCTCAGCACATTGAAAAATTTATCCAAAAATAAGATGATATCATAAGAACATGAGAAAATCCGTACTTCACATGGCAGGATTTTCTAGGATCCCAAACGCGTCGTGGTGGTGCTCAAAAACACCTATACAAACATTGTCTTCCTTTGTAGTGGATGTCTCAAAATCCAAGTTATAATTAACAAAATGTGTGAGAATATATCTTGGGAAGTGACTTAAATTCCACGTTATTCAACACCCCATCTGATCTTGATTTTCTTCGAAAAGGGATTTGAATATATGATTCCTAAATATCCATATCATGTATAATAAATCTAGTAGAGTGAGGTAGGTCTGACAATGATTTGCACGAACCACTATCCTAATACGAAACGGTACGAAAAATTTGCCAGCCCTAGAGTGGGGTGTGAAAACTGTTTTCTTGGACCACCATTTTATGTTTAGGGTTGTTGCTTAAAGAGTGTAGAATTGCAAATTAGGCTGTATAAGCCACGAGATTAAGCAACAGATTGGTACTTAAAACCGTCCAATCTTCTAAAAAGCTAAAAAATAGAACCCTCCAAATGTACTTGTGTTTGACTTTGGAGCAATGTCAACTAAGAGAGTGCATTGTGCAAGACTAAGGAAGATTAATGCTAATATAAACTAGTAAAGTTTCAAATCTCGATTGGCTCTCTGCATTGACAAATTTGCATGTCAAATACCTAATTACTTGATTAATTTATTTAATTATGGTTTAGAGTCAACAAATCCAACTAGAAAATATTAATTTTTTGCATGCTCTAGCATTTTCCATTTCTTCAATTCTTAGCGAGAGAGAGAGAGAGAGAGAGAGAGAGAGAGAGAGAGAGAGAGAGAGAGAGAGAGAGAGAGAGAGAGCTAGAGATTGAGAGAAGGTAGGAGGTGACACCTGTTGTTCTTAGAAGCAACTGTTGCTTTGATGGTGGCACACATGCATATATTAGTTGACTTTTAAATAAATACAACAGCGACGAAGTCTTATCTTACTAAGTGAAGTTGATTGTATGAATCCTAGAATGTCTACGCTTAATTTTGCATCAAGTCTTTCGTTAGTACCAAGTACTTCATATCTTTTCGTAAAGTTTTATTCCGTCTTCCTAGATCTTCTTCTGCTCCTTTTGTCCTAATCATCTGTCTCATGGTCACATCTTCTAACCGAAAATATTTATAGGTCTTCGTTTCACGTGTCACCATCTTAACTATTGACTTTTATCTAAATATTTTCAAACAACAATATGATTTTTTTATATTTTATGTACAGCTAAGTCTTGCCATTTCATGAATAATCCCTAGAGACATGGAAGATCTCCCATTCCTTGATTCTGTATATATTTCAAAGTCATTAGCTCTCTAATAAACAAGTTTAATAAATTTTAAATCATATTTAATGGGGTTGAAGTGGATTAAGAAAACAGTTTAAGATGTTTGACATTTTTGATCATGTCTCTATATAAAAGGAGCCATATTTGCATTGAGAAACACGCAGAGAGAAGGGTGAGAGAGACACAGAGAGAAAGAAAGATGAGAAGCAACCAGGTTCGATTGAATTGTGGAATCACAATGCCTGTCATTGGGTTAGGCACTTATTCCTTCCAAAACGATAGGAAAACAACAGAACTTGCTGTCCATATGGCCCTCAAGGTACAAACCCTACACACACAAGAGAATTATGTCATCCCACCGGAAATATATCTTCTTATGTCTATAATACTTAGTACGGTAGTCACAAGGAGATATACTCTTGTGACACTACAGTTATCTTCTATCCGCTTGCTTTTATGTAACTTTTTTTACACAAGCGATATCGGGGAGGGACAAACTGAACTCAAGATTTCGGATATGGGTGTAATTGTTCTTAACTACTTGAACTAATGCATGGTTGTGATGCAGATGGGTTACAGGCATTTCGACACAGCGAAGATATATGGTTCGGAGCCGGCTCTCGGAAACGCTTTGACAGAGGCAATGCATGACGGAAAAGTAGAGAGGGAAGACATTTTTGTGACATCTAAGTTATGGGGTAGTGATCACCATGACCCTGTTGCAGGACTCAAGCAAACTCTCAAGTAAGAAACTGTGCATTAACATATAAACATCCGCATTTTTTACACATATTTGTCCTGCAATCTCTCGAACTGCATGTGAGTGTGAAAAATCATCTTCAATTCAGTGCCTGCGGGTTTTCAGCAGGATCTCTGGAGATCCCCACACTTTTAGGTCAAAGATCAATGATTGAGCATATCCACGAGGAGAAATCTGGGCACAAAAATCCATGGCCTAGGATTATGAGAATCCATGCAAGTTCTTTTATCCATTCAAAATCTTTAAAAAAAAAAAAAAACATAGGCCGACTCCAGTCAATAAGGTTCTTCACTTTATAATGGTCGGGGAGAGAATGTCTATCGTATATAGCCTTATTTTTACTTTGCAAAGAGGCTGTTTGCATGATTCAAACCTGTGACCTTTCGATCATAAAGAAACAATTTTTCCGTTACACCACGACTAGCCCTAAAAAATATAACTGCGATAACACTATGGATGACGGTCTGATGATATTTTGCGACGTCAATAACAATTCCAGGTGAAATATGCGCGAAGTTGTTTTTAGATTAAATTGCAATGAGACGATTAATATTGGTGTTGCAGGAACATGGGAATGGAATATTTGGACATGTACCTAGTGCACTGGCCAGTGAAGTTGAAGCCATGGGCATGCAATCCCATTCCAGATGAAGATGAATTTGAGCCGTTGGATTTGGAGACCACTTGGTCTGGAATGCAGAAGTGCCTGGACTTGGGATTTTGCAGGTGCATTGGTGTCAGCAATTTCTCCACCAAAAAGATTGAACAGCTTCTGGATTTTGCCTCTGTTCCCCCAGCTGTCAATCAGGTAAAATTTACCATTTAAATAATTAAATTTACGAGGTTATGTTTGAATTATGTAACTAAAAGGTTATATTTTTTTATCAAAAAATTACTGGTTTAAGTTGTAGAAATAATATTTTTGTAAAGTGAAAATAAGATTGTGTACAATAAATATTATTCCTCCTCATTTCCTCTAATCCTTGCAAAATAGAAAGATTTATTGATTTAAGATTGCCTTTTAGATTAGGTTTGAATTTCTCAGTGTATCGACTTCAAACACAGAAATTCGGAATGAATCTCATTCCGTTATCATCAATCGTTATTTGACATGGGATTATTTATACGCACAGGTCGAAATGCACCCGCTGTGGAGGCAAAGAAAGCTTCGAGATTTTTGTAGGGACCACAATATCCATGTAAGTGCTTACTCACCACTTGGTGGGCCTGGGAATTCATGGGGATCAACACTTGTGGTGAACAATCCAATCATCCGGGCCATTGCCAACAAGCGTAAAGCAACTCCAGCCCAGGTAAACCCATCAAATAACAAACAAAACCATAGCAAATTTATGACTCGTTTGAAATTACATTTAAAATGACTTAAGTATTTTTAGAAAAATTGTTTTTAGGTTCAAAAGCATTTTAAGGTTTTATGCAAGAAGCACTTGAAGTGTTTTTTCAAGATTTACTTGTATTTTTACTAATGATTGGTTCCAAAAACATTTTCACCAAAAATGCTTTATCCCTTTTAAAAGTTCTTCCAAACGAATTCTTATTTACATTTTTTATTAAAAAATTAAAATAATATATATGCTTATTTTATTAATGTAAGCTATATTCTATTTTAAATTACACAAAATTGTAAGTCGGAAAATTTTAACGCATATGTATAAGGAAACCACGTTTATTCTAACCAATGTGACTAATATCTGTAACTGTTAAATGCTAATTAAATTCTTTTACTTGATGTAGGTTGCTCTAAGGTGGGGATTATCAAAGGGATCAAGCATGATTGTGAAAAGCTTTAGTCCAGAAAGGATTAAGGAGAACTTTGGAGCCATTGATCTGAAATTGGACGGTCAAGATTTCATGGAGATAGACAAGTTGGAGGAAAGGAAGATCATGAGGGGAGAGTTTCTAGTCAATGAAACCACAAGCCCATACAAAACAATTCAAGATTTATGGGATGATGAAATTTAAATTATTTCACATTGTTGTAGTTTGTATGTAATTTAACCTTTTGTCTTCAATAAAGGGCGACCTCAAGCCAACAAAGAACTTCATTTGCAAGGGTCGGGTTGGGGATGTCTCTATTGTACACACCTTTGCAAAGAGACTGTTTCTATGACTGAAAAGAATAACATTTTCGTTACGCCAAGACTCGCCCTCAACCTTTAGTCTTCAATGAATCATAAATTTCACCACAAAAATGCATAAATATCTATCCATACAAAAACTCTGAAAGATTTGTAAAATTTTATCAACAGATTTTGAGTGCCAGGGCAATTTCTCCAAATCCTGTCACTTGATCTTCGCCATCCAAATCGGTTTGCTGCTTTAGAACCCTTAGATTGCCGAATCTTTTCTCCGATTCTGAACCCTAAACCCGAAAATTGAACCAAATTCGTTAAACAGGTAACTATGTGACGTACACTGTTGAAAGAAAAAAAAAATTACATCATGATAGCCCAAGTCATACCTTGAGCTAACATACGAACGCAGTCTAATTTTCCTGAAGCTGCCTACTGTTTTCGTTGGACTTCGGCGAAATTCCTTGCTCAATACGCTATATAACGATGAGCTAGTTGAGTAAGATTACTACCAGTTCGCAGTGTACGTAGACAAGGAATAACATATTGAGTTGGACATCGACATCCAAGTTTTGCAGATTTAAGAAGCACGCAGGATTGCTTGAATTCGAACATGTTTTATCATAACTCAGAAGATGTACCTCGAGAAGATATCCGTGCAGCCAGTCCAACGTCGGGTTGAATGTGTTTGTTGACAGGTTGAGTACTTTCAATCCCTGTTTGAATCAGATTAGCTAAAGATAAACCATCTGCCAACGTAAAAATATGAACCGTGATTCACAAGAAACGCGCTTACCTTGGAGTTGAATGAACAAAGATAGTCCTGAATGATCTTTAAGTTGCTTGCTAGCTTATCTTTGTCCTAGAAAAGTGTAAAAAAAAAGATCACGAGAATGTTCTAACAAACAGACTGTTTAGTTTTCGATTAATCAACGAACGATAAGCTTATAATTCATCATTATTTACAGAAAATATAAGATGGTTAATAGTGAATACCTGGACTAGTTTGTCATTGAATGCAAAAGTTGAGAACCATTCCTCTAGTAATGCCTGCAGATTGCAAAAGAACAGGAGCAATGAGGTGAAATTTGAAGAATTAAAACTCGAGAAATGCTGTAATCTTAAAACTATGTAATATGTCAGAGGACGTGACCACACATTGTGATCGAATTCAGCCATCTTCAGAACTAGAGGTATAATAATCGGTCCAGGACCACACTTCTCTTTCGAAACAGAAGTACTTTTAACCTCCTCCGAACCTTTCACGCTTTCACCTACACCATTGCCATGAAAGGAGTTAGAGAACTAACATCTTAAATGGTTCAACTCTTCAACATAAACTTTGCAATCATTTCCACATTAGGGGTTAACCTTCGTTACTAATCTCAATGACACTTCCTGCTAGGCCAATAGCTTCCAGGTAATCTACGTTGTTCGCGTTGTTAGCTGTTGGTGTCCCTTCTTCTGAGCTGACAAGCACATTTTCCAAGTGTGTTCTGGATTCGTCTGGTGTTTTATTTTCATCCGCCATCAGATAGATGTTTGGATCGATATGCATTCCCTATCATTACCATTAAAAGACGAAGGAGATCATATATGCTGAGAGAGACAGGAAACTGAACTAATTGCAGTGAGATGTTTACAGTTATCATACTTCTATTATTATTGGCTTCCCATCTTTCACTGCTTTCTTCAAATCACCCGCCAATCCTACCGAACAAAGCAGATGAAACGTAGAAATAAAGAGACATAATCTTCCAAACATTCTCTAACAGACTTAAAACTGTTCCTGTTATATAATATAGCGACTACCTTTACGTACAATCCTGCATTCCCTACAAAACTCGGTAATTAACTCCTCCGCGGAGCTGAAGTCTCGCGCCCATACAGGAGTAGATGCCAATGGTGCACTGAATTGGATCAAACGAGAGTATAAAAACTTCGATGTAGAACAGAAAAACTTTAACTTGAGAAACAAGAAACATTCCTCTCTTCAAATGTAAGAAACTAAATAAAATCAGGACCTACTCCGTTGATGTGCGCAGCAATTCGTACACCACATCTGTCTGCATGACATTAGGCAAATTCAACCTCTGTGAAATTTGTGTTGCAATCGTCGACTTTCCAACGCAGGCAGTTCCGCATAAAAGAATGATCAATGGTACTCTTTGATGGTGAAATCTGAAAGAAACGTAACCCCCACCAAATTGTTTCTTCAAAATCATGAACCGCCATATAACGCAGCGAAATTTTTTCCATGGACTGACCTCGTCATCATCTTGTAACGATTTGCGTACTCTTCCCCATAGCCCCTCTGCTCCATAAGCTGCAAATTATATAGAACTGTGAAGCTGATCAAATTCGACATGTTGAAATTTCGCAAAGTTCACAACTTCAACTTGTGTGGCCATTACCTTGAACATATTAGCTTCCAAATCGGACTGCGACCTGCGATACAACAACAAAATGCACAAAGCTAAGCCATTTGTGGAAATCTAAACAAGAAATGAACAAAGCAATGTGGATGAAGGACGCGACGCGACATACACATCTAGAAGGCTGTTGTCCACAAGCAGCTTCTTGAGCTCAAGAGCGATTCTGATAGCTGCATGATTTGGGATCTAATAAACAGAATTATAATTTCGTCATCAGATTTCGCAGGAAGAAATAAATGATCGAATTGTGACCAGCCAAACGAAGCATGACGAAGGAAATGCAGATTGGATTCCACCTTGGTGACGGTTAACATTTGGCTGAGCAAAAACCTCGAAAACACGTAGTAGTGCTCGGCATGATCACCCAACCACACCTTCACCTGGTTGCGAAACAACAAACATTACCACTCCAATTTTCTCAGGAACCAAACAGAAAGAATGATCAAGGAAAAGAAAACTAACCTTGACAAAGTCGTATTTGGAGGAAGCAGTTATGGTTCTAGGACCCATCTCCTGCAGATTAGTAAATTACAGAATGCAGATTGCATGTACTTTGGATTCTTGGATTTAATGCCGTTGCGTCCTAAGATTTTGATGATCCATGCAGCTGGTTGATTTTTTTATTTTATTTTTGGATGTAACCAACTTAATGGTTTTTGTTGATATTGATTTTGAGATGATAACACCGATGATATTTCATTTCATGTGTTATAGAAGAGAGTGCACCGAAAAATTGCTCGTGAGATGGAATGTATAGTCACGTCGATCGAGTCACGGGATATTGATTTGAATATATCACATACCATATCATGTGGTATAAATACGAGGTGACCTTTAGCATTCCTTTGAATACATCATGCCACGTCACGCGGTATCAAAATGTGCTATAAATATATGGTAACCCTAGCATTACTCGATGGACAATTTATTGCGTCTCTTTGTTGATATATACACAGAAAAGGCGAAGAAGATGCACATATAACTGTCGCTGTCCAAAGGTCGATCGTCGAAAAAGTGGTTAAGAACATCATGTTAAATACAGTATCCCTTAAGTTATACATACGAACACTACTAAGACAACAACTTAATGACTGATTTTACATACGTACAATACGAAGACAACAACTTATCCGAAACTTGGTATCTCGTATCGAAAAATTGAATTTTGGTGAAGTCTTGGATGCATTAAAGAGGCTGCATTTGGTTGAAATCTGGCGTCTCGTATCAAAGAACAAGTAATGCAAGTAGAAATTTGCTCTGCAAGCTGCTGCTGCTGCAAAGGTGCTTATAAGTATTTGTTCTCCGTTTTGTTTCCCGACATTTGATCTTTATCGGCTGATCTTTATCGTCCAGCCGATCACTGTTTCATAACCGTTACTGGTTCTTTTCCCCAGCTCTACGTGAACCACAAAACAGATACCAAGGAATGAATTTTAGCTCAAGGGAATGAATGTAAAGCTGGTCATGAGCATAATATTTTTCGTGTTTGTTTTACCTTCCCCTTTTCATTTGAACTTACCATGTAATTATTTTGTTTAAAAAATACTTAATCCATGTACCATACGGATATAGAGAGAAAAATAGATCAAAACAATGGAAGTCCAAATCATACCAGCCTTCAGCTAACATCGGAATGCAGTCTAACTTTCCGCAGGCCGCCTACTATTTCCATTGGACACTGATGAAATACCATGCTCTATACACTGTATAAAGAAACAAGGAACCAGTTAATGTATCTTTCTCATATTCATTTGGGGCCACCAGTTAGGCATTAAACATCCAAAATTTCCAGGTTTCAGCAGCATTAAAGAGGCCAGGGCAGCACAAATTTAAAAGAGTTCACCATAAGTACCTCAAGAAGATACCCATGCAGCCAATCCAGTGTTTGCGGAAATGTGGTTGATGATATATTGACGACTGTCAATCCCTGTTTGAATCAAGGATGATAGAATAAGACAACCAATAATAAACAATCGGCCAAATCAAAGATTAAAGGAGTTACAACACATGAAAGAACTTACCTGCGAATTGAATACAACAACAACTTACCTGCGAATTGAATGAACAAAGATAATCCTGGATGGTCTTTAAGTTGCGTATTAGCTTATCTTTATCCTGGAAATGATAAATACGAAGGTTTGAGGGGATTTTTCCAACTTATAAGCTATCTTGAAAAAAAGTGAAAAATGAAAATCCGATTGGAAACTCTTCATTTAACAAACATTTAAGCATTCTTCATGGATAACAAAAAATATTTGATACCTGGATTATAGATTTATCACTAAATGTACGAGTCGAGATCACCTCTTCTAGTAATGCCTGCAATGAGAAGTACAGGTACACAAATTACAAAACAAGGGAAAGATTCAGAGAAGAACAGAAACAACGAAAAACTCACATCACCAACATGAAAACTCAAGAAATTCTTTACCAAGAGCCAAGAATAAAAGCATGAGAATCTGTATTCATTTTTCTACGAGAACTATACGTTTTCTAAATGATACCAATTCAGGATTTAGAGGCCTATGATTAAGAGAGGAGAGCGGGGACGGCACTAATAAATATGTATGCACAAAAACAGCAGTCACAACTACTTCTGGGCATAAATGCCGAGTTAATTGTGAAAGAAAACCAAAACCAATCAAGGCCAACTGTACTCACACAGAAAACAAGGACAGTGGGAAAAAGAGTTTGTACTAAAATAAACTATATAAGTGAAAGAGAATGTGACCGCACCTTATGATCAAACTCAGCCATCTTCAAAACTAGAGGTATAATAATTGGTTCGGTACCAGACTTCTCTTTCTTAACAGAAGTACGTTTACTCAACTCTGGATCAGTAACACTTTCACCTGGATCGCACAAAAGTAGTCAGAGAACTGACATCTTAAATGTTCAAGTCTGCCCTGTGCCTTCTGATTAATTATGTTTCTGACCAAAATTAAGTGTGTTGGAACAGAACATAAACAATCTGAGAATTATCCACAGTGGGGATCAACCTTTTTCCTCAGAAACATTTCCGGCTAGGTCAATAGCTTCCAGGTGGTCCAAGACTTTGTCCACCTTGTTAGTTGGTGTCCCTTCTTCGCAGCTGACATGTGCAGCACTGTTGAAAACTTCAGAAGAACTTCCGCTTATAATTGGAGAACTGTTTTCCATCTGTGTTTTGGTACCATCTACTGCAACTGGGTCTGCCTCCTGAGTTTTCTCTTGTGCTTGTGTTTTATTATCATCTTCCATTAAATAAATGCTTGGATCCAAATGTATTCCCTGCCATTATCATCAAACAAATGAAATCATCCAAACTAAGTGAACAGAAGCATGCTAATGCTTATGACATTGTCATCGATAAATTGTTCATCCAAATAATTCACATATACGACCTTAAAAAAAGTCCCTTTTTATTTTTCTGCATTAAAAAACTCAATAGTCCATGCAGTGCCGTGGTAAGCATTCTCTCTCTCTCTCTCTCTCCCTCCAGGAAACTAGAAAGTCACATCCGTAAAATGTATTGCAGCGAACATCATGGATTTTTTAACATAAGCACGAACTTAGCACCCAAACTGGAACATCTTGAGGAAAGATTCTTAAGCCATACGATATAACACACACACCCAATCCTTTGTTAAAAGTAGTCAATATAAAATTACCAACCTAAGCAAATAGAGCAATAAAAGTTCATCTGTTTGGTTCTCACTTCAAGACAAGGTTCAGGTACATAACCAGATAATTGAGACTTGAGCAGAATCTCCAGAAAACTAAGCACGGAGGGAACAAAAATATTGTAGTGAATCTATATGAGCTTTTTCAAGCTTAATATTTGAAACAGCTCCTTTCCATAATAAAAAAGAAATGAAAAGGAACAGATAGAAAGAGGAAAAACTTTGAAAGGACAAAAGTTTGTCACAATGTGATTGACATCCACAGATTTCATAAATAAACACACCTCTATTATTATTGGCTTTCCATCTTTCATAGCTTTCTTCAAATCACCAGCCAATCCTGATAAACACATGTTTCAGAACTTTGATCAATATACTAGCCAAAAAGAGATTTCTGATTTCTCAAGGTTATAAATTCAAAAGTAGTCATCTGACACATCTCAGCAGATGGATTAATAAAGATATTACCTTTACGGACAATCCTGCATTCCCTACAAAATTCAGTAATTAACTCCTCGGAGGAGCTGAAGTCTCGTTCCCATACAGGAGTAGATGTCAATGGTGCACTGAATTGGATAAAAGGAGAGAATAAGCATTCCAATATTGTTCATCAAAACAAAGGACTTCAACACACGCAACACTAACTAATCAGCTTAACATAGGACACACTAGTCTTTTGCAAACTATGTTTTAGTGCACATTCAAATGAAAAACAAAGGAAATGTATGAAATTGGGACATACTCTGTTGACGTGCGCAACAATTCATATACCATATCTGTCTGTAACAATTACACAGGAAAAATAAATGTCAAAGACATCTCTATGCACCTTGAAAACAGTAGGGAGAGGGAGGGAGGGAGAGAGAGAGAGAGAGAGAGCATGACAGATGACAAATATTAGAACCTGCAAGACATTAGGCAAATTTAGTCTTTGTGCAAGTTGGGTAGCAATGGTCGACTTTCCAACACAGGCAGTTCCACATACAAGAATAACCAATGGTACTCGTTGATGGTGAAATCTGTACAAATTTGTCTCAACAAAGAAAAAAACTGGTATTACCATAGAATTCAGTAAAATTTTACCATCTTTTGTTTATTCGGTTTCAAGGCACTTCCTAAGAGTATATAGATTTTAGACTGACCTGGTCATCATCTTGTACCGATTTATGTACTCTTCCCCATAACCCCTTCGTTCCATAAGCTACAAATACAGAATGAACCCAAATCAGCATCTAGAAAGTTTGCAAAGTGCACTACTTATCCAACTACTACACAAGCATATGACATTACCTTAAACAAATTCACTTCCAAATCGGACTGCGAACTGCAACGCATCAGGTGAACCCAAAAGCGAAACCATTTATACAAATCCAAACAACAACAAGAAAAATCAGAATAACAAAAAAGAATCAATGTGGAGACAGCATACACATCTAGCAGGCTGTTGTCAATCAGCAGCTTCTTGAGCTCCAGCGCGATTTTAATCGCTACATAATTCGGGATCTGCAAATCACCAGACCAAAAATTCACACTAAATAACATGATCAAATCATTACAATTTACCAAAACAAACGAACAGTTGAATCAAAATACTGAATTGGGTCGACGAAATCGATACCTTAGTGACAGTCAACATTCGACTGAGCAAAAATCTGGAAAGAACATAGTAGTGATCTGCATTATCACCCAGCCAGACCTTCACCTGATGAGCAAAACAGAAATGATATTCGATTTCTGATTCATTTTCTTGGGACCCAAACAGAAAATCGAGAGAAAAAATCGAAAAAAATGGAAAATGAAGAACCTTGACAAAGTCGTATTTGGAGGAAGTGTTGCGGGACGAGAATCTGATGGAAGTCGAAGAGACGCCACTACTTCTGTGGTTGTTGTCGTCGTCCAAATCCAAGTCGTCTACGCCGATGTTAACGTTGTCGTCGTCGATGTCGTTGATGTTGGGGCTTGAGACGGCGACTGCTTTGCCTTTGTTGTTCATCGTCTGTGTGTCCGGGTGGAATCCCATTGTTGCTGCAGAGGGTGAGATCTTTCAGTGCGCCGGGACATGGCGTGTCACGCCACGTCACATTTTATTATATAAAATTAGAAGAAGTGTTAAAGCCCTCCATGAGGGATAGGTTCGAACTTTGTCGCTAGTTAATTTAATATATAATCTAACAAAATTTATTATTTAGTAAAAAAACAAAAAATATTTGTTAGTGTCTTTTTTTATTAAATAATGATACATATGGTGTTTCATTTGTGTTCTGCACATATTAAAAAAAGACAACTTTTCCAAGTGTCAACAGCTATGTCAAAAATGTTGTACGTATTGGTAATGGTAAGGAGATCAAATTTTTAAACCAAATGGTGTGGTTATTGATGATTGAATTATTAATTGAATGTTGATTAACGTACTTATTTCTTATTAGTGACATATCATTTAATTTACGGAGCATTACCCTATGCATACAATGCTCTTCTATAGTTTGACCAAAAAAAAATTACTGCTCTTTTTTCCTTTTCTTTTCTCTAACCTCTATGTTTCTGCCACGTTATTCTTGTCGATGATAGAAGAAAAAAAAAAGTTATATGACACTAATACATTGTTACTGTGACGTTTCGATTCAATGAGAAAAACATGTAAATTTTTGTTACATGTCCCTATTTTATTTGCAATGTCCTATGGATGGATAAAAGTTACCCTAAATTTAACGGAGCAACTGACAAAATTACCATCAAGAATGAAGAAGTAAAACATTTGTACCATAAAATTAAGGTTATGGAGAAAAGGGTTTGCCCAACATTCACTAGGGGAGAGGTGGGTTGGGCAAACTGTAATATAATTGTACAATCTGGGCTGTTTCCTCATTGTGGAAGATTAAAACTAACAACAATCTTCCTCTGTATCCTCGTACATTCTTCATACAAGAGATCATTGATGATCATCTCATCTGTGGATAAATTCAAGGAGCGGATTCTGATCATCGAACAGCATCTTCAAATCGCGCGTCTTCCTGAAAAATCTACTGCCTTTCTTTCCTATGGTGGTTCCATTAATTCTCGATGGGAGAAGAGATTTGGTATCCGGCCTCCATTGCAGCTCTTTGAGAGTAGAAAACAAGGTTGAGAGTGCAGGAGATATCTCCTTGTCCTTTAAGTTCTTGCACGATGCAACTCGAAGACATTCGAGCCCCTTCCAGGCAAGAATTACAGACTCCAGACCCTCTGTTGTTAGCACTGAGCATCCCTCTAGTGATAGCAATTTCACTCTCCTGCGACAACACCAAACACCCATAAAATTCCCAAGTAGAATTCAGTGACCAAAAATCTTAGCAACTCAACCAGTAAAAGCTGTGAACTTTCGACAATTCAAGCAAATCGAAGTATCTACAGTTCATTACAATTGCAATATAACAAATCCAACAGTACATCGTCAATAATCTTCGAAAAGTTTGTGGCTTTTGTTCTAGCAAACCTACTCGTAACGTTAAGAGCATTCGTAGATTGATACCAGATAACTAATCGGCGTATAACGTGCCAACATAAATCTCAGGCAACGGAAGGCATAACATAGAGAAAAGAACCAATGTACCTGCAAGTGCTTGCTAGCCTGAACATATCATTCTCCAATCCCCAACAGTTCTTAAAAACAATCTCCTTCGCAGGTCTACACACCATAAACAAAGCTCTCACAATCTTCTTGTCCCTCAGCTGACATTTCTCCAAATGCAACCTTTCCAGAGCCGGACAAGCACTCAAGTACTCGTCTGGCACTGGAACAGTTTCAATCCTCTTACACGACTGAAACCTCAAAGTCTTCAAATTTTCGCAATAGGGAAGCGCGGCCAGCCAGCCACCATCCATCCTGTGATCACAGAAAGTCAGCTCCTCCAACATTTGGCAACACTGCCCAATTGCCTTAATCCCATCATAGCTTCCCTCACATCCCCAAAGCTCAAGCTTTACCAGTCTAGTACATCCTTGAGCTAAAATCGTCAACCCAATATCCGAAACCACTGAACTGTAAAGTACATCCACATTTGCAACCAGCTTCAGCACCTGCAAATTCTCACACGCCGCAATCCCACGCAGCACATTGTCACTGCACTTGTGCAGTTCCAGTTCTTGCAATGTGGGGCACTCCTCCGCCACACTCAGCAGGCCCAATTCACTAGCGCCAATCACCACAAGCTTCCGCAAGTTGGGGCATCCACTCGCCAGCCCATCAAGCCCCCTGTCAACAACTTCAGCTGGAAGCAAATTCGATTCCAAAACTCGCTGATTCGGCGAAAACCCGGAGCCGGTGTGCACCGATAACATCCTACAACTCAACGAAATGCCCGAATTTTGGTCCGGAATCAACGACCCAGATAGAAGATCCACCTGATTCAGGTTGGGGAACCGCGAAATTAACCGACCCGATTGGAGAAAGTTCCAGTCCAAGATCTTGATTGACCGTACAAGGCGGCCGTGGAGGTTGAGCCACCGCTTGCAGACGACGGAGCTAGGCTTCCGCTGCGATTCCGGGAGCTTGGCGAGGATCTTGAGGAGGATTTCGTCGGACAATACGGAAGTCCGGTCAATGTTTGCCCAATTGGGGATCAGGGTTCTGTGGGTGGACTTCGGATTGGGCGAGGCCAGCTGCATAGCGAATATCATGTTCTTGAGAGGGGTGGTGTTCTTGAGCCAGATGTCTGACCACCTCGCCGTCCGCCGCTTCGATGGCGGTAAAGGGCTGGTCTTTGGGTTTGGTTTCTCGCACCGCAACGACATCGTTTCATGGTCGTCTTCTTCTGCTGTTTCTCTGTATCCCATTTTTGTCTTTCTTCTTGTTTCAGCTCTCTCTCTCTAGATTTTCTCAGTATTCTATCAACCGCTAGATTTTCTCTCTCTAAACTTCTTGCGAGTTTTGAATGAAAGGGCTGGGTGTGCGGCGCTTTTTGTTTTCACACATCCAAACAAATTACAAAGCCATTTCATTTGGTGATGTGATTAGACCAGAAACACAACAAACAATGTCCACTCATCAAATATGATCGTTAGATAGCCGTTATAATTCAAATTTCTTTTCAGATGCAGGACCCAGAAAAAGGGAGAAAAAACAAACGATAATGATTGACTTTCTACTCTTCTTTTTATCGTTTGATATTTTTCGCATACTAATATTTGGTAAAATTGTAATCTGTGTCTGCTTGTTTAGAGGTGGTCTCTTGTGAACGACAAAAACGATATATGAATTCATTTGAAAATATTTTTAAAATAATTTAAAATGTTTTTGATAAAAAAAAATATTTTTTGGTTTCTAAAATAATTGAAAGAGTTTTTAGTAAATCACTTTTAAGTGAAAAAAAATGTTTTTTAGAAAAAGCACAAGTTATATGCTTTTGCATAAAACACGTCAAATGTTTTTTCATAATTCACTTGCATTTTACTAGGAACTGATTCCAAAAGCATTTTCACAAAAAACACGCTTCCATAAAAAGCAATTGTCAAACACACCATATGGGCTTGTTTGGAATTGCTTTTAAAATGACTAAAAACGTTTTTGGTGAAAATGTTTTTGGAACCAATCCTTAACACTTATAGTTTTTCCTGAAAGAAGCATATAACTGATGTTTCTTGCAAAAAAACACTTAAAAAATATTTTAGTTAGAAACGCTTTTAATCATTTCAAAAAGACATCCAAACAAGTCTTATATTTCTGATATGCTCGAAACGCGGTTATGACTAATCTTGATAACGTAGCTTTCTTATAAGAAGAACTTTAACGAAAAACTCCCGATACAGTTCATTTTAACGAAAAACCATATTTTTACACTAAAAAATCAATCCTATTCACTTTACCATTTATTTTGTCATTTTGTTAAAATTCAAAAATTTTAAACCATTTTCATTACTTTTCCTTTTTTATAAGTGCACCATAAGCTCCGTTGTACTAATCTTATTGTTTATTAAAAAAATGAACGGTAGATTATATTTTTAACGCACAAGACGATTTAATTTGGTTAAAACTTGCCTGGGAATAAAAATGCAGAAAAATGAGCGAATAAAAATGTCCCAAAAGTGTTGAAAATATGTATAAAAAAAACCCATGGGTATAATTAATTACAATCATTCCATATAATCTCCCACTCAGTTAATTAAGATAATAAAGGTCAGTTGATAAATACATATCTACCATCATCTAATCAAGCATTACCGGGTAATTATTATGACTAAATAATTAAAACTAGACAGGGAAACAATTCAAGAGCGAGGAGCTGCCATTTGCTGCTTCTTTATCCTCTCCCCGTTCTTCACCATACTGCATCGAAAGAACCGGATTCAGAGAATCATGTCATGATCAAGCGCAATGTTTGGATTTGGTCAAGGAAAAAAAGGATTTGCAGACTGATATCCACGGAAAGAAAATTCAATTGCAAAACGTCTGAAACTCGAGATCATAATCTTTCTTACGGCATTACCTGATATCGTGAGGGGTGATGAGTATCCATTGGGATCCTTGCACCAATGCAAAATCGACAAGAGTGTCTAGGCTGATTTTCCGGCTTACGGCATCCTGGAGATCAAATGAATTCCAGAAACATAGTTGATGAAATCATTCTTTCACGCTTAACAAAACATAAAGTATGAACACAATCGTCATTCCTGGCGTAAAGGGAATACTTAAACCATACCATGAAAACATCAAACTCGTCCATTGCTCTAAACGGGGCTTCCGTCATTTCATGAAGAGACAATGTAAAGCACAATGTTGAAAAGGAGCGCTCTCCACCTGATTAACAATCAAATTAACATAAACGTTATTTCTTTTTAGGTACTTATATTACAGACTGCAAACAATGAAATCGTTGAGCTAAGATTTCACGAAAACAGAAATAAATGGACAACCAGTCAGAGTATTTAAGAAGGAAACCTGAAAGCCCTCTAGTGTCGCGAACAGTGCTGCTTGATGCATCCTGGGGCATCTTTACCTGAGCAAAGGAGTACATGGCATCAAGTTTTGGAAGGAAAAATAGGATTAGCAAAAGAAATACCAAGCCGTCCAGAAATACCAAGCTTACCTCAATAGCAAGGGTCCTCTC